AGCGCAGCATAGCATAGCATAGAATAGCATAGCATTGCATTGCTTAGCTTAGCATAGCGCAGCGCAGCATAGTATAGCATAGTATAGCATAGCATAGCATAACATTGCATAGCATAGCATATCCTAGCGCAGCATAGCATAGCATATCAGAGCATAGCATAGCGCAGCATAGAATAGCATAGCATAGCGCAGCATAGCATATCATAGCATAGCCTAGCATAGCATAGCATAGCGCAGCATAGCATAGCATAGCATAGCATAGCGCAGCATAGCATAGCGCATAGCTGCAGATGTAGATGTAGGTGCAGGTGCAGATGCTAATGTAGCTGTCGGTGTAGATGTAGATGTTGCTTTCCCAGATGCTCCAGCTCCTAGGTAGGGTCGCACTGGGATAAATTTTATTCTTCGTCGAAAATTCCCCTGTAGAGGGACACGCCCGACATAAACTTAGGCGTAAAGGGGACAAGGACGACAGGGGGGCAGCAGCGGCCTCGTGGGCGTCGAGCCCGCGGGCGCCCCGGCGGCCGCGGGGATGGAGGCGGCCATCTGTGGGGCGGGCTCGCCGCCGAGCCACACCGACGGCAGCACCTGGCTCGGGGGGGCGCTCGAAACAGGGGGTCCCAAAACCCCGACCCCCTCGGGTCACGAAAAAATCGTGGCGGGAAGTGTTGCGCTATGTTCGCCCTCAAGGGGTCCTCACCGGGCCTCAGGACCGTCGAAGAACGACTCAGGAGGAAAAACCGGTCCCGGGGAATGGCCCAAAACCTCCGGGGTCGACGTCATGAAAAAATCATGGCGTCGGGGGGCTGGGAACCGTGTTGTGATGGACCACGCAGTGACCTCAAAATCCAAAGAGACCTCCTCGCGCGGTCCGAGGGTCTTGGGACCTCGGAGGCCCAGCCGCCCGAGGCGTCCTCGGTGGACGACCCGAATCCCACAATCGTGCTGTGACCCCGGATCCCCACTGACTGACTAACCACGCGGTGTGGTCACCACGCAGGCTTGGAGGCCCCCGAGCAGAGGAGTGGCTGCTGGAGGATCCGCCAGGGGGGGGGGGGGGCCAGAGAGGACTGCGGGGCAGAAGGGGGCATCCAGAGAGGAAAGAGGAGACGAGGGGTTGTGTGAGGGGCAACGATGGGGAAGGGGACTGGCATAGGGGGGGGGGGGGGGGAACATCGACCTGGAACAGGCGACACATCGCCGATGGATCGGCGATAGGCCCCCGATCGTGCGCCCGCACGCTCCTGGGCGGGGTAGGGCTCTCGGGCCCCTGTCGGCGACCCATGGGCGACGGGAGGTCGATGCATGCAGTAGGGGCCCGGCCGAGCACAAGAAGCCTACCACAAGAGACCCAACCCTGAGACCCCAGGACGCCCCCTGATTTCTGGCGTGGGAAAGTCACGCCTTCCACGGCCGAACCATCGAAGCCCAAGAAACCCAGGGCACCCTGGAGGCGAGCAGGGTGTCACTCGGCGTGGGTCTCCACTGTACCCTCCCCGTATGCCTCTGGGGGCCCCCGCCGGGCCTCGGGAGCGTCAAAAAACAGCTCGGGACAGGAAACCAGTCCCCCAGGGGAAGGGGTCGAGACCTCCAGGACTCGACCCGCCAACACCACCACCACCGCCACCAGAGGCGAGCATCCGGGAGCTCGCGTGGGCATGAAGATTGCGCGCCGCTGCCAGCTCTTCAGGACGTGCAGGGAAAACGCTGCAACAATTGATGGCGCGTGGACGGAACATTCCACTGGGGAGGGCAAGTGGACAGAAAAGAGGAAGGGACGAGGAACTGGGGGAATGGCAAATGTACAGAGGAGGCCCGACCACAAGAAACCTTCCACGAGAAACCCAACCCTAAGACACCAGGGCGTCCCTTGATTTTTGGTGCGGGAACGTCGCGCTGTCCATCTGAAAACCATCGAAGACAAAGAAAACCAGGGCACCCTGGAGGCGAGCAGGGTGTGTCTCGGCATGGGCCCCCACTGTATAGAGGCAGAAGACCAACGTTTAGGTCGGGCGTGTCCTCCTACAGGCGGATTTTGGACGAAAAATAAATAAATAAAGAAGTGTTCAAAATATTGAAAAGAGATGGAAAAATCGTCCCCTGACTGTTTTGGGACTCTTCTTGAACACTCGTCCTGTAGAGGGACACGCCCGACTTAAACCACCGTCGTGGTGAGCTGGCCCAGGTCTGTGGTGGCGGCGGCGGCAGGAAAAAACTCGCCGGGGCCCTGTCGGCGTGCGCGAAGGTGGCCCGTCGGGGCTCGCCGAGCGCGAAGGCCTCGCAGAATCCGCCCGTCCCGCACGTCAGAGCCGCTTCCACACGAGATGAAGTCACCCGAGGGGGAGGAGGAGGAGGAGGAGGAGAGGAGGAGGAGGAGGAGGAGGAGAGGAGGAGGAGGAGGAGAAGGGAGAGTAGTAGGAGGAGGAGAGAGGAAGGAGGAGGGGAGTAGGAGGAAGGAGGAAGGAGGAGGAAGAGGAGGAGGAGGATAGGAGGAAGAGGAGGAGGAGGAGAAGGAGGAGGAGGAGGGGAGGAGGAGGAGGAGGAGGAGAAGGAAGAGGAGATGGGGTCACTCGAAGGGGGGAAACGCCTCTTATAGGCTCGCGTCGCGGGGAAAGGGGGGGGTGGGGGGGGCTGCCCCCACCTCCCGAGCGACACGGGGCCCCTCCCTCCTCCGCCTCTAGTTCTCCTCCGTCCCCCCTCCCCTTCCTCCTCTTTTTCCTCCTCTTCCTCCTCCTCCTCCTCCTCCTCCTCCTTCTTCTTATTCTTCTTATTCTTCTTATTATTATTCTTATTCTTATTCTTACTATTATTATTATTATTCTTATTAGTATTATTATTCTTATTATTATTCTTCTTATTATTATTCTTATTATTATTCTTATTATTCTTATTCTTATTATTCTTATTATTATTATTATTATTATTATTCTGCTTCTTCTTATTATTATTCTTATTCTTCTTCTTCTTATTATTATTCTTATTATTATTCTTATTCTTATTATTATTATTCTTATTATTCTTATTATTATTATTATTCTTATTATTCTTCTTATTCTTCTTATTTTTCTTCTTATTATTCTAATTAGTCTTCTTATTATTCTTATTATTATTATTATTATTCTTATTATTCTTCTTCTTATTATTATTACTCTTATTATTCTTCTTCTTCTTATTATTATTATTATTCTTATTATTATTCTTATTCTTCTTCTTCTTCTTCTTCTTCTTCTTCTTCTTCTTCTTATTCTTCTTCTTCTTCTTCTTCTTCTTCTTCTTCTTCTTCTTCTTCTTCTTCTTCTTCTTCTTCTTCTTCTTCTTTTTC